TTATTTTGATATATCACAGTGAAAGATTTATCGTCCTCTTTTTTTTTTTTTTTTTTTTTTTTTTTTTAAAAAAAAAAAAAAAAAAAAAAAAAAAAAAAAAACCACATCATCTCTCATGAGAAATCAAAAATCATAAAGCATTTAAACTGAATAAAATCTAATACAACATATGAAAAGTTGTGCCAGGTATGGTGGCTCATGCCTTTTAATCCCAGTACTCAGGAGGCAGAGCCAGGCAGCTCTCTGTGAGTTCAAGGCCAGCCTGGTCTACATAGAGAGATCCAGACAAACTGGGGCTACAGGGAGACGCTGTCTCAAAAAGACCAAAAAAAAAAAATGTATTTCAAAACAACCTTAACAGTGTAAAAAAGAAAAACAAACTAAACCCAAAAGAAGCAAACAGAAAGGACACAATAATAAACATGGCAGGGGAAAGGGACAGTACATGCAATTTAATTACTGTAAGATTTTTCAGGAGCTGATAAAAGCACTACTTTTAAAATGAACTGTATTAAAGGGACTCCAGCATAAAGGGTTACAAAAATAGCCTCCTTGATAGTGCATACTGGCTATTATTTATATGGTTGCACTAAGGGACCTTGGAGATAGCCCATTCCAACAGATGCTCATCTCTCTGATCTTATTTTGTCCCCACCTAGTCAGGGGGCCTTTAAAGAGGTCCCTGGGCACATGAGTCATCATGCCCACACCAGGATGCAGAACAAGAAAGATTAAAGACCTGTACAGGGCCAAGTTCAAATTCTCTGGCAACCAGAAGACTGCATGTCAAAGAAGTGGGGCTTTACCAGATTTGAAGTGGAGGAATTTGAAAATGTGGTGGCTGAGCGTGGTGGGTATACAATCATTGAGAAACTTCTTCACTCCTGGACCAAGAGTGGGCCCAATTTGTTCTGTGTCTATTCTCTTCTGTCTAACAAAGAGCTCCTCTCGTGTTTACTGAACAATATATCAAATACGGTACGGAAAAAGCATGAACAATCCTTGATAACAGTTTTACAATGGAAGAAGCTGTTTTTCCAACCCTACTGACTCAGAAGAGCACACAAAGCCACAGAAAAATATCAACTTATGCCCCCATGTTGCCTACACTGTGGAGGAGACATTGCTTTCAACTCATTACTGTCACATCCCTCACACACACACATTGCTCTGACTCAGAGGCATAACTAAGTCAGAAATAGGGAACATGGTATAAGATTAAAGTTACAGATTCAGCTTAGCTTGCAAGAGTTAGTTACATCAGGATTCCAAATCATTCTAGGGCTGATGATACTGCTTTTCTTAGAAGGGGTATGTAGTTCTAAATGTTCTCAAAACATGAGTAATTTGGCTTACAAGGTTATATAAAATTTCCCTTTGTAAAGACTTGTTACAGAGTCTTTCCCAAAAAGTCATTCTCACAGCAGAGAAGTAGCATTAGAAGAAAAGCTTTTCATTCATTACAAGAAAGAAAAATCTAGGCAGCATCACTTGCAAGGCATAGAAGCAACAAAGCTAAGAAAAATTTAGCAAGCAAAATACAACTATACAAAAAAGGATAATCATAACTGAGATTTATTCTATAAATGCAAGGTTAGTTTAATAATTTAAAATCCCAATTTAGGGGCTGAGGAGATGGTTCGGTCAGTAAACTGCTGACTATACAAGCATGAAGGTTACTCAAATGTAACATGTATTTTGACTAGCTGTACCATCTATATCAACATAAAAGCTGGGCACAGTGGTATGCATGTCTAACCCCCAGAGCGAAGGGGCCGGAGTGAGGTAGATCGCTGAAGCTCATTGGTGAACCAGCCAGGCTGAATTGATGACCTCCAGGTTTAATAAGAAACCTGACGCAAAAAATATGGAGAGCTTTAATCCCAGTACTAGTGAGACAGAGACCGGTGGATCTCTGTGGAGAGTGATAAAGGAAAACATCCAACACTGACCTTTGGCCTCCACAAAGTCCCATACACATGTGCACACACCTAAATATGTGTACACACCCACACAAACATATATATACACTAACATACGATAAAAAAAAAATTTACTTTCCCACTGTAAGAAAATAGAAAATTTAGCTATGAGCTCATTAATGTAATATTTGATATGGTGCAACACTGTCAATGCTTTTTAAATTCAATGGGAAACCAGAATTAGAAGAGAATTTCATAAATCCAGGGTTCTCAATAACATACTTAATAATATAATTAATCTGCACTAACGTTGGGTACATTAAGGTCTATTCTCATCACCTCTACTCCACATTCTGCAAGAGGTTCTTGCCAGTGCAATAGTGAAAATAAAAGGTATTAGCATTGATGGTATCTAACACATTATACATTGATTTTTGTTAAAAGATATAAACATTGAATAAAAAGATATAAAACTATCATATTTATAATCAAATGATTATACACATAGACAATCCAAAAGAACCTACCAAAAAAGTATTAAACAATTTAGAAAAACAAAGGGTTTTTGCTTTTGTTTTAATCAAGACATGAACAGCCCTAACAAGGGAAAACACTGATATCATGAACAATAAATTTATGAACTTCTATCCATCAAGATTTCTTTAAGAAAGTAAAAGACATAAGCTACAAACTGGCAGATGATATATTAAAACATCTGTCTAACCAAGGATTCACTTTCCAGACATAAAACAAATTACCAGGGATTTGGGGTATAGCTCAATCATATAGCACATGCTTACCACATGCTTAGTACATGTGAAGCCCTGGGTTCAATTCCCGGAACCAAAAACAAGACAAAATAAAATTCCTACATATTAATAAAAGGCAAACACAAAAAAACTCAAAAATTTAAGAAAAAAAACACAAAATTTACAAAAGATATCCAAAAAACTAACAAGTAAGCTATAAAAAAAAAAAAGTCCACCATTAGTCATTAGAGAAACACAAAGAAAAATGACTATGACAGATCACTACACACCAACCAGAAAGTCTAAAATCAAAGCAGCAAGCATACCCAGTAGTAGTAAAAATGTGAAATAACTGGAACCATCACAGTGAGACTGTAAGTTACTAACAAACACTCTGGAAAACTATTTGACAAAATTAGACATATGCCTCCTGGGCTGGAGAGATGGCTCAGTGGTTAAGAACACTGGTTGTTCTTGCAGAAGACCGGGGTTCAAATCCTAGCACCCACATGGTAGCTAACAACTGTCCATTAACTCCAGTCCCAGGGGATCCAACCGCCTCTTCAGACCTCTGAGGGCATTGCACGACACAGGCGCACTTAACCTACATGCAAGCAATACACGCATACACATAAAATAAAAATAATAAATTTTTTTTAATTAAACTTATGCATTCTATACATATATGCTTAGGGAAATTAATACTTATGTATATCAAAATACACAAAATATTCAAAGTTTTCTTTATAAAAACCAAAAATATGAACAACCAAAAGTTCTATTGATAGGAGACTGAATTGTTGGATCTCATACAATAGAATACTACAAGACAATACAAAGAACAAACTACTGCTGACCCAACAATATGGGTTAACATGAATAAAAAGAAGCCAGGCAGGTATGGTAGCACACAGCACTCAGGAGGCAGAGGCAGCAGATCTCTGTGAGATGAAGGCCAGCTTGGTCTACATAGTGCATTCCAAGTCAGCTGGGGCTACAGGAAGACCTTGTCTCAAAAAACAAACAAACAAAAAAAGCCACACAAAAATCATTCCAGTTTAGCTGAGGCTCAAGAATAGGTAAAACACCTTTCTTGACCAGCATGCAAGAGTTCCTAGGTTCAGGTCTCGGTAGCAGCAGAAAAGATCCAGATTAGCAACCATCTATTTTAGGAGTGAGGAGTACTGGTTATAAAGAAGGACAGGAGAGCTTTGTTGTGCTAGAAACATTCCATGTCTTCATCCTGATGGTAGATTCAGATCATACATATTTAAAAGTTGAGCTACTATACTTAGGATTTGTCCTCATTTTTTTAAACACAAAATGAAAATATTAAGACACTCAACCCTGAGGAAGAATGGGAAAGGAGCTGAATTCCTTAGTGTTTCATCTACATTATTCAGTAACAGGAAAGAGTGGTAGAAATTATTGATAATCATCACCATCAGATGAATGCTTCCCTTATCTCCTATGAAACAGCTGGTCCCTGACTCTTTTGAGCTTGTACAGATAATGTGTATCCTCAAGCACAAAAGAATAACTTGGCATATGTTACTGATAAATGTGGTAAGTGAATTAATGAATATGTGAACTTTGAAGTTACAGTTTATTTGCATCAGATCATTCTCAAAAGAAAGGAAACTAAAAGTGATTAATAAAGATGATTCCAATTTTACCATCACTTTCAATCTGTGTCTACTCAATACTCTGAGGGATGCCATGGGTAATGTCATTTTTCCTAGTAAGAGAAACAACTTTTCTGCACATGTGACCTTGCTGTCTGTCAGACTCCTCCCCTGACCCAAGGAGAACACAATGTGATAATTTTTCAATTTCAGGTAAAATTCTGAAAATGTGCATTAGCAAATTCAGTAATGATTGAGAACTGAGTAAAGAGGTTGAAAGTTTCTGATAACAAAATCAACAGAACTGTTTTCTACCAGTGGAAACAACTTTGGGAAGCCTATTAGAATAAACAAACCTTCAATAGGCAGAAAGCATTCAGAATTCTCCTATAAAGTCTCTAGCTACACAGGTAACCAAAACACATTAGCAGGAAATGTGTGTTTTTCTGGAATAAAGTAAAAAAAAATAGTAAACAGGTTATGTTTAACAAGCTGAAAATGACAGCTACACAGCTTACCTGTTCCAGCACATCTAACTTTAACTCGAGTTTGCTGAGAACCACGTCCCCTCCCCATAGTGAAAGCTGCAGATCCGAAGGCTTTAAGTTCTTGATATAACGATTCACATAGCTCATTAAAATTGGAGTTACGTACGACTCCAGCATCTTTAAGGTTAAGAGTCAAAGCCGGATCCTGAAAGGGGTAAAGACAGAAACACTGTAACTGAATCGGCGGCGCAGCAAATGAAAAGCACTTCTCAGCAAGGTCTGCAAAGGCTTGGAAGTGGCCGCCGACTTCTTCCCACACCCACCACTCCCGGCGCCGACCGCAACTTCCCCACTACCAGCGCGCCTCACCTGGAGGGGCGAGGAGAGGGTCAGAAAAGCCCGGCCTGAAGGGAGCGGGTCCTGGGCGTGGAGGGAGCGGTGTGGCCCGTTTCACTGTAGCCCTTCAGCAGCCCCGCCTGCCCCCGCAGTCCTAGCCTCCAGGAACGCAGCCAGATCTCCGGCCAGGGAAGCCGAGCTAGTGCCAGCCCCGCTCCCGCCTCCCCCGCTCAGCCTCCGCTGACACTCACGCTTCAGCGCGGCGGCGCGTGTTCCACCTCCGGCACCTAAAGCCAGCGGCCGGCGGCGCAGCTCAAGTTCCTCGCCACTTCCGGGTGTGCAGGACCTGGCGATGGGAGCGGCTTCAGCGCCGTCACCGCTCTACTCCGCGGGCTGACAGACTCCCTCCGACCAGAGCTTCCGCAAGGAAGGCCTCCCGCTGGGCCAGGCCAGCTGCCCCGCTCCTACGCTGCTGGGGCTGAGGAAGAACCACGAGGAAGTGCTCCGGGCGGGGGACGGACCCGTAAAGTGGGGACACCGGGGATCCGGAAGTGGCGCTGCTGCGGGAGGTGGCTGCGACGAGAGACCGCACGGAGGTGGCGGTGGCAAGGTCGTGGTGGAGAAGCACGCGCGGCCAATGGGCCGGCGCCGTGGAACACGGAACTTTCGTTCTTCAGTGGTTCCGTCGGCTTAACAGCTGGAAGCGGAACTCAGGTTGGGTGGAGAAGGGGCCACAGGTAGGAAGTAGGAGGAGCGAACTGGGGCGGAAGATTCGAATTTACCTGTGGCGTTTCTTCACTGGAGGGAAGAACGACCTGTGGGAAAACTGGAAAGATGAGAGATGGACGGCTTTGAAGGTTGCGTGCAGACCAAACATGTATGCAGGCCCCCTGGTACTGATATTTCACGAAGCAAATGTGCGGAACGGAGTACGAATGGGAAAAGAAGAAAATTGGGGACCCATTGATTACAGTCTGATATGGGACTTCCCCCAAAAGCTGCGGGAGTAGTAAAATAAACAAGGAAACGGCCCTAGACACAAAGTGAAAATAGCTGATAAGGAAATTACGTTTTAAGGATCAGTGTTGGTTTTGTTAAGCTGGCAAGCTAACACAGAAACTCCTAACTTGGAACAGCACAAGATACACTACCTCGTTTTTCACCAGCTTCTCTTTTGGTAACTTCTGAATAAAACTCAGTGTCTTGAAAATAGACTTCTTTTATAAGATTAATCAGTACCTACTCAAACCTAAAGGTCTTCCCTAATATATATTTCATATATATGTCCTGATATCTATTCCCTAATATATACTGATATGTAATAGCATATATACACTATGTATTATAGTATATTGTGTATATATATGTTTCCCGAAAGAGATTCAATGATTATTATTTAAAAGGAGGGGAGGCATTAACGAGGATACCAAAGTTTAGATTTATTTTTTTAGTAAAAATAGTAAACTAGGCTTCACACACAGAAAAGCAGCAAGCAGTTGTAAATTCCCACCAGCTGCTCCTTACAAAAGCCTTAATAAATAAATGTGGGTATTATGAATACTTAATAAATTAGCAAAATAAGTAACTTTTTAAGTTCTCAGCTTCACTTGAGCAGCAAATAGGTTGAAGCCAGGACTAAGGAGTTAATTTCTACTAAACATAAAGAAGTTCTCAGTGATGTTATACCAGGATCTCAAATCTTGTCTTTAAAGAAAGATGTGTGACAGGCTAACAAAGACACTATTAGGGTGTTAGCCAGGTATTTAAATATGTGACTGATATGCTTAAGCAAAAATAATGCATCAAATGCTAAAGGTCATTTTTCTCTTGAAGCCAGCAAAAAATTGCCAACTTCCTAAACTAAGAATATTATCTGGGCATGGTTTGATTTTAATATCAAAAATTAGTTATTTTCCGTTTTTGTTCCATTTTGCATTCTCTAAGCAGTTAAATTTAATTCCTTTTCACAACTGTGTTTCTTTTTGTTGCTTTTTGGTTTGATTTTGAAGCAAGGTATCCCTATCAGCTATCCTGAATGCTGACATTACAGTCTTAACCACATCTGCTGTTGTGTGTGTGTGTTAAGTAATATGAATTCAGAGGCTTTCTAAATTTTCATGTTTTTTTAACTCAATCTTTTATAATGGCCAGTTTTTGTTGTTGATGATGTTTCAGTAATTGTCTTTTTTTACTTTATTTATTACTTTTATTTTATGTGTATCCAGGGATTGCCTGCATGTAGGTAAGTGCACCTGTGTCATGCAATGCCCACAGAGGACAGAAGAGGCTGTTGGATCCCGTGGAACTGGAGTCTTGGACAGTTGTTAGCTGCCATGTGGGTGCTGGGATTCGAACCCTGGTCTTCTGCAAGAAAAGCCAGTGTTCTTAACTGCTGAGTAATTGTCTTTTTTTTTAATTTTATGTGTATACGTATATTGCATGCATGTAGGTAAGTGCACCCGTGTCGTACAATGCCCACGGAGCTCAGAAGAGGCTGTCAGATCCCCTGGGACTGGAGTTATGGACCATTGTTAGCTGCCATGTGGGTGCTGGGATTTGAACCCAGGTCTTCTGCAAGAACAGTCAGTGTTCTTAACCACTGAGCAATCTCTCCAGCCTCAGAAACTAAAGATTTTTACCATTTACTATGCTGTTAGCTATAGGATTTTTGTAGATGTGTGTTAGCAAACTGAGAAAGTTACTGCTATCTTGCCAGATCTCTTTTTTTCATGAATGGGTGTTAGATAGTAATTAACTTTAAAGAAGAAGAAAAAACAAACAGGAAAGCAACACAGAGTACTTCAATCATATCTGCAGTGTTTTATTTTTCTTTTAAAATAGGAAGAATAGCCGGGCATGGTGGTGCACGCCTGTAATCCCAGGACTTGGGAGGCAGAGGCAGGCAGATCTCTCGCAAGGCCAGCCTGGTCTACATAGTGAGTTCCAAGACAGGGAGACCCTGCTTCAAAAAGACAAAAAAAAATAGGAAGAATATTAATATTTGATAGCTGTTGACTACATAGGTTTTATTTGTTACATGTGTGCAAATTACCTGATGCTTAGTAGTCAACTAGGACAGTATTTCTCAATGTCTGCAGCATAAATTATGTCAGGGCCAGTGAGATGGCTCAGCAGATAAAGACTCTTACTGCCAAGACTGACAACCTGAGCTAGAACCGGAGGAATCCACATGGTTAAAGGAAAGAATTGACTCCTGCAAGGTGTTCTCTGGCCTCACACACAACGCATATACAGATGAAAATAAATTATATCTCACTATATCAAAAAGGCATAAGTATTTAATAATTATTTGCAGTAATTTTTTAATATTTTATTATTTTTTTATTATGTGTATGAGTGTATTGCCTGCATGTGTGTGAGTGCACCTGTGTCATGCAATGCCATGGAGGTCAGAAGAGGGCTTCGGATTCCCCTGGAACTGGAGTTAAGGACGGTTCGTAGCCATCATGTGGGTGCTGGGAATCAAACCCAGGTCCTCTGCAAGAGCAGTCAGTGTCCTTAACCGCTGAGCCATCTCTCCAGCCCCTATTTACAGTAAATTTTAATGAAACAAAAGTTGTCATACAACAGGAGCTATCTTGAGAATCATTTTGTGCTTGGATTTTGCTGAATTAATAGAGATACTATTAATATGTATATTGAGCTGAATGGTGGCTCCCCAAAAAAAGATAAAGATGCATCCCGATACCCAGAACCTGTGATAATATCTTGCCTGGAAAAAGACCAAATATTACATTGTAAGGCAAAATATGTACTTGTAGAATGTTAAGACAGGTTGTGGCTCCTGGTAGGTGAACGTGGATGGCCCACACCCATTTATATATGAGCAGCACAAATTCAACTCAGTGATTTGTCTTTTTTTTAAAGGGGAGGGGGGGACATGAAGTCTGGAGGGCCTGTCAGGATGGATCTCCGAGGAGTTAGGGAGAGGAGTGGGGAGTAAATATGCTCATAGTACACTGTATGCATGTATGAAATTCTCCATTTATTAAGATACTACATTTTGAAGCTGGGCATGGTGGTGCATGCCTTTAATCCAGAGGAAGAGGCAGGTGGATCTCCATGAGTTCAAGGCCAGCCTGGTCTACGTAGTGAGTTCCAGGCCAGCTGGGGCTACAGGGAGACCCTGTCTCAAAAATACAAAAAAAAAAAAAACTTTACATTTTTTAAATGTTGAGAGGAGTTTATCCTGGATTTTCCAAGTTCCCCTAAATCCAATGACAAGTGTCCTTGCAAGAGTGAGGCAAAGGAAGATAATGAAAGCAGAATAGAAGACGGTGCAACCCTGGAGATTGAGACTGGAATGCTAGAGCTGAAAGTCAATGAATGCCGAGAACCATCAGAAGCTGAAAAAGCAAAAACATTGTCCCCAGAGCCTCCAAAGGACTGTAACACTGATGGCAATTCTGGACTTCTAAATTTATGTTTTTTAAGCCATCCAGTTTGTGGTAATTTATTACAGCATCCATAGAAATGAGTACACTAATGCACTAGGTCAGACTGGGGACAGACCTAGTCTTCAGATAGCATGAATATTAAGCCTAAACAGAACATGAGTTAGATATTTATCTTAATTGGCCAAAGACTTATGGAAAGTCGTACAAGAAAATCTGAAGATACATCATTAAGGTCAGGATTTTGTAAGTAAGTACTACAAATCTCTCCCCTGCCCCTCCCTCTCATCTTGTTTGTTCTGCTGCTGTGTATTGAATTCAAGACCCTGTGCATGTTAAGCAAGCACTCTACCACTGAGCTCCATGCCCCTCCCCACCACCCTTTGCAGGAAGATCTTAAAAGTCTTCCTAGGCTGTCTCTGAGTTTAATTCCCAGAACTCACATGGTGGAAGGAGAGAACTGACTCCCTCAAGTTGTCCCCATGCTCCACATACATACCTAGGCATTATCTTACACACACACACACACACACACACACACACACACACAAACAAACACACATAAATGTAAAGGAAAAAAATCTACATAAGTTTTCATTTGCAGTGGTTTTAAAATATGTCTCTACCTTAGAAGGTAGAGCCTGATTCTTATGCCTTTGCGTATGGTTGAGTATGGGTTGTATTTAGAGACTCGCTCCTAAAAAATACACTGTGGCAGAAGTGGCAGTGTGTGTGTTCTGCAATTAAGACATAAAAGGCAGTGTTCTTCCACTAGGTTTATTTGCTCTGAGAAAAGCCAACTGCCATACTTAGGCTGCATAGGTGAAAAGTCCATATGATAATAAACTAAGGCCTCCTGTCAATACAGGAGGCTTCCTTAAGATGTCGAACCTCTGGCTAACTCTTGACAGCTTCAGAAAACACCCTGATCCAGACAGAACCTACCCCACTCATGGCCAGGAAGAGTACCCTTGAATTCCTGAACCACAACAGAAACTGAGGTAGTAAATAACATACTTTGGAGTAATTTTTAAAACAATTAGGTATCTAATGCACCTCTAAATAAACTCATCTTTATTCATGAGGCCTTAACAAAATAGATATCCCAGGCATCCCACAAATCTCTGGAAGCTGTCATGTCATAAATGATTCTTTTTTTAAATTTTTTATTGAGCTTTTGTACATTTCATACAACAGTTTTTAATAAAATTTAGGCCCCCTCCCCCATCCATGCCCCCCAACCCCCTGGCCAGACCTCATGTATTGTGCCATACATGTGAAGTCCTATCCAGTGAAGCATTTGTACCCAGATGTCCTTCAGTGCAAATTCATTCACTGGAGTCTAGTCAGCCTATCTAGAGATCATAAGTAAGGCATATTCTCCTTCACCCAATAGTAATAAGCCTCTAATATTTACAATTCTAGGGCCAGCCTACTACTTATTTCTGGGCCCTTGTCTGATTGAGTGGCATGGGTTCTGTGCTCAATGCCACCATTGCCACAAGTTCACATGTGCGAGCTTCCAGAAACCCTCTGCTTCCCTGTGTTCATGAACCAACCTTGGCTCTTACAATCTTTCCACCCCCTCTTCCACAATGGTCCCTGAGCTGTGGATGGGTAAGGTTTAATATAGGAGTCCTATCCAGGGACGCACACTCTTCTGTCTCCTATTCTTTAAAACTTGGCCAGTTGTGGCCTTCTGTGTGCATCACACTCTGTTGTATAAGGAAGCTTCACTGGTGAGAGTTGAAGAATGCACTAGTTTTCTCTCTACCCCTTGCTCTACTATGTTC